TTTCATGACTGGATCGTTCATGTTTTATTAGCCCTCAGATGACAACAACATTTACTTCTCCGTGACAATCGCACCACGTGATTTGCATACTCAACACCCGCCTACAAGTTCCAGCTATAACTCGAAAAGTATATAGGACGTGTTCATACTCTTAATGCTAGAACGACATTACGACTAACCCCTTGTAAATGTGCCAAAGTGATGACATTTTCGAATGTTACAGCTGCCAAGTGCGTGACAACAAACTGTCACGAAAAGAGAATTGCGTGACAACCATGTCACGCTCCCTGTTTTGTTTAATCAAGGTCATATTTTGGTTTCGTTAACCGCACCAATCACACATACTGCTGGATGTCGTCACACGTTTATAAATGTGTGACACCTATGCTGACACCTATGCTGACACCACTGACACAGTATACTGTCACCCGTTTACTGTCACACGTCTAATGTCACGTGTCTACTGTCACTCACTCACTCGCTGGCCCGCTCGCTCACTCACACTCGCCAGCTCGCTCACTCACACTTACTAGCTCGCTCACCTTGCAGGTCCATGGCGGAGGGGAACATGGCCCGGTGCACTTCGTGCGGCCTGGACATCATGGCGCACTGCTGGTTGTGTCCCGGGGGCCCCATGCCGGCGGGCGGGTAGCCCCGCGCGCCCATGTTGGACGCGTAGCGGTAGCCGGACATCTGCGAGCAGCCGGCCGAGCTGAGGTCCGGGTAGGCGCAGGGGAGGCCGGCGCCGAGGCCGTGCCCGTCCAGGGCGCACGACGACGGGTCGAAGCCGGCCGCGGCCTGGTTCAGGTACGAGTAGTCCATGACGGCGTTCGACGGGCAGGTGTCGTACTCCGGGCGGTCAGAGGCCGGCGCTCATGGCGCGGAGGCCGGGGGCGGCTCGCCGGGGGCGGCTGGGCCCCAGCCCCAGGGGCAGGGCAGCCCGCCTGAGCCGAGCTCCTCCCTGGCGGGGGCGTGCCGCGTATGGCGGCGACCAGGCTCGGCGCGGACCCGCACCCGTGCACAGCCACTGTGGAAATCGAATGATGGACTTAATTCAATAACTCGCTCGGATGCTGGGCTGCTGCCGCGCGGACCGGGGCGGGGTGGGGAGGGCGG